ATGGGCATAAAGTGCAAGAAGAGTTAAAGTTAAAAATTAGACATAAATCATATAACTATACTGTAAAAGTTGCGTGATTGCTTAATTATTACTCTTGTAAAACACAAGCTTTTAGCATTCTGGAACAGCATAATCATTAAGATTTGGAACCAATCACTGATTGTCGTGGATTCATTATACTCTCTAGTTCAAAAGGTCGAAGACCATTCCAGGACTGCTGTGAATGCTGAATTGAGGGGGAAATCAATTGTTATGAATTTATCATTCATTAACAATGACAAAAATCAACTTAAAATCACCTAGAAGCAACAAATCAACCTTGAAATTGAACTTCCCAAACACTAAAGTCAAGCTGGATAAACAAGTCAAGCAGTGCAGAATAAATGATTAGACACACTAATTGACAATTCACACATGAATCAAGAGTTTGTACAAATTAATCAACAAGCCCATAATTACCAAACTGTCAAACTGAAATGCTTGAAGAAAGCAATGAAATATCTGAGTTTTTTGTCCAATTAAAAAAATTATCTCTCAGTTGCATTACACAAAGTGGCAAGTAAATCACAATTGATTAATTGAATCAACATTTCCTTCAACAATCAGGCTATCAAATCAAAATGCTTGAAGAAATCAATGACATATCTGTGTTTTTTGTCCAATAAATCTCGGTTTCGAGTTTCATACTTGAACTATCACCAGATGAATATTCATCGGAACATACCACAACTATCAGTTGTTCCTTTTTTTCTACCTGAACAATGATGATATTTCAAGTAATAAAGAAAACAACTGATAGTTAAAGTGATGTTTCGATAAACACAATTCAAGTATGAAACTCGAAAAAACAGTATACTTCATGTGTGCTTTTGCCTATTAACTCTTGATATTTCTCAGTTTGCATTACATAAACTGGAAAGTAAATCACAATCGAGTATCATTCACTAATTCATATGTAAAAAACAAATCCAGTTTACATAATTCGAGCTGCATTACCTTACAGGACTTGAAGAAGACTCGGAGTTCACAGGTTCAGATACCGCTACACTACTGCAAAAGCACCGGAAATCTCCACCAGCTTGTTGACGAATCATCCGTGTTCTTCTCAAGTATCCACCAATACTTAATCCGCTAGACCTGCTAAATACAAACAAATCGAAACAAAATTGAAGATAATCAATGGATAACTTGAAATCAACAGAGAATGAGAGTGAGAGAGAGATGAATACGTTGAAGAGACGAAACGAGGTGCAGAATAGGTGACCATACTGAAATGCGAGAGAAGAGAACAACCCATTGGTGCAAAGCTATATGGATGAGAAGCTGAGACTGAACAATAAAAGAGGGAAAAGATGAAATTGAGGAATAAAGAGAAAATTATAGTAAATAACTTTAATTAGAAAAAGTTGAGTAGGCATAAAAGGCATTCAGTGAAAACGATTTATGACCCAGTACTATATTATTTCTTTCGTTTAATTTTATTTGTCTATTATTTTAAAAATATAATTTATTTCATACATTATTTTTAATAGATAAATAATTTATTTTTAAAAAAAATGTTATGTTGTTGAAAACTTGAAAAATCTTTTTTAGATATCTAAATAGAACAACTGAAAATGAAAGGCATAAAACGTATTAATTAAATGCGATTTATGAGTAAAATTTCGTGATATTTTATTAATTATTGAAATTACTATATTACCCCTTCTGTTTAAGCATAAAATGCACTCAATGAATACGATTTATGAGTAAAATTTGTGTCTTCTTATTAATTTACCATATTACCCCTTTCGTTTAGGCATAAAACGCAAATAGTGAATACGATTTATGAATAAAATTTTGTGTCTTCTTATTGATTATTGTAATTACTATATTATCTCATTCGTTTATGCATAAAACGCATTCACTAAGTGCAATTTATGAGTAAATAATGTCTCTTCTTAATAGTTGTTGAAATTACTATATTATCCCTTCTGTCTAGGCACAAAACGCATTTGGTGGATGTGTTTTATGAGTAAGCTTCTGTGTCATCTCATTTATTATTGAAATTATTATATTGCCCCTTCCGTTTAAGCATAAAACGCATTCAGTAGATGTGATTTATGAGTAAAATTTGTGTCTTCTTATCAATTACTATATTACCCTTCTCATTTTGGCATAAAATGCGTTCCTTTAGTGCGATTTATGAGTAAATTTTATGTCTTCTTATTAATTATTGAAATTACTATATTGCCCCTTCCGTTTAAGCATAAAACGCATTCAATAGATGAGATTTATGAGTAAAATTTGTGTCTTATATCAATTATTGAAATTAACATATTACCCTTTCCGTTTAGGCGTAAAAACGCTTTTAGTGAATGCGATTTATGAGTAAAATTTCGTGTCAAAAATTGAGAAAATGTCTCCCTTTAATTGACGATTATCAAAAAAATCATTCTTATTAATTATTGAAATCACAATATTACCCTTCTCATTTTGGCATAAAACACGTTCCTTGAGTGCGATTTATGAGTAAATTTTGTGTGTTCTTATTAATTATTGAAATTACTATATTGTCCCTTCCGTTTGAGCATAAAATGCATTCAATAGATGTGATTTATGAGTAAAATTTGAGACTTCTTATCAATTATTGAAATTAACATATTACCCTTTCCGTTTAGGCGTAAAAACGCTTTTAGTGAATGCGATTTATGAGTAAAATTTTGTGTCTTCTTATTAATTATTGAAATTACTACATTACCCTTCTCATTTTGGCATAAAACACGTTCGTTGAGTACGATTTATGAGTAATTTTTGTGTCTTCTTATTAATTATTGAAATTACTATATTACCCCTTCCATTTAAGCATAAAACGCATTCAGTAGATGTGATTTATGAGTAAAATTTGTGTATTCTTATCAATTATTGACCCTTTCCGTTTAGGCGTAAAAACGCCTTTAGTGAATGCGATTTATGAGTAAAATTTTGTGTCGTCTTATTAATTATTGAAATCACAATATTACCCTTCTCATTTTGGCATAAAACGCGTTCCTTGAGTGCGATTTATGAGTAAATTTTGTGTCTTCTTATTAATTATTGAAATTACTATATTGCCCCTTCCATTTAAGCATAAAACGCATTCAATAGATGTGATTTATGAGTAAAATTTGTGTCTTCTTATCAATTATTGAAATTAACATATTACCCTTTCCGTTTAGGCGTAAAAACGCTTTTACTGAATGCGATTTATGAGTAAAATTTTGTGTCTTCTTATTATTTATTGAAATTACTATATTACCCTTCTCATTTTGGCATAAAGCGCGTTCTTTGAGTGCGATTTATGAGTAAATTTTGTTTTTCTTATTTATTGTTGAAGTTATGATATTTTCCTTTTCGTTTAGGCATAAAACGTATTCAACGAATGTGATTTATAAGTAAATTTTGCGTTTTCTTTTTAATTATTAAAATTAATATATTATCCCTTTCTTTAGACATAAAACACATTCAGTGAATGCAATTTATCATCAAAAAATTATTCTTTCTTATTAATTGTGAAAAATGACTATATTATCCCTTTCGTTTGAACATAAAACACTTTCAACAAAAGAAATTTATGAATAAATTTTTTGTGTCTTCTTATTAATTATTGAAATTACTATATTACCTCTTTCGTTTAGGCATAAAAAGTATTCATTGAGTGAGATTTATGAGTAAATTTTTTTATCTTATAAGGGTATATATGTCAAAGTATAACGAGAGTAGTATATTTAATCCAAAAATATAACGAGAAGGGTATATTTAGTCCAAAAGCATAACGAAAGGTGTATTTAAATCATTTCCAATAGTATAGGGGTATATTTGACTTTTTACCGTTTCTTATAAAGTGGGATCCGAATAAGATAAAGTGTACATATATCTTACCATTATCTGCATGAAGTAAATAAATTATTTTCGAAAGAAATATATATATATATATATATATATTTAAATTGTAACAAAAATTATCGATCACCTAATCACATAAATAACGGCCCGTTTGGACGGGCTTAATAAAAGCAGCTTTAAAAAAGTACTTTTGAAAGTGCTGAGACTTATTTTTAAAATAAGCAGTTATGCGTTTGGATAAAAGTGCTGAAGTTAAAAAAAAAGTTGTTGATGTGTTTGACAAATAAGTGCTGATAAACAGCTTTTTAAATCAAAATGTCTGAAATAACCTTAAAAGTTGTTAACATAATAAAAGTTAATTAATTTATATTTTACAGCCATAAATAATTATATTTTGCTATCATTCACATATTTTTTTCTCATCACAAATTATTTATAGAGGAATATAAACTTATTATAGATTTTAAAGATATATAATTTGAATAGATTAAAGAACGATTTAAGATTTTATTTTAGTTTCATCCATATGTATAATAATTGTCTATCATTCACATATTTCTTTATTATCACAAATTATTTATAAGAGGAATATAAATTTTTATTTAAGTTATATATGCAACTTATTTTACATTTTAATAATATATAATTTGAATAGATCACTTGAAAGATTTAAGATTTATTTTATTTTCATTCATTAGTAATTATAATTGTCTATCATCCACACGTGAAAAGGGAAAAATAGAAGAAAGAGATGTTAAGGTTATGTGGGTAATTTGGAGATTGTATAAAAATATTAAGGGCAAAAAGGTAAAAATGTGGTTAACTTAAAACAGCTTATAAGCTGGAAAAAAAAACACCCCTATCCATCTTTTAACTTTTGACTTAAAATAAGTTTCTTTTAACTTAAAATAAGTTATCTTGAGTATTGTCAAACAGCTAAATAAGTCAAAAATTATTTTTTAAGTCAGTTTGACCAGCTTTTAAGATGAGCCAAACAGATTCTAAGTGATATTAAACATAAAATATCAAAAATTACATAAATATACCACGATAATTTATACTATCACCAAATTAAATATATAATAGACTACTTGATCCTTAATTAGATATCTCGTCCTCCTATTTGGACACTCGATACTTCCGTTATCTTCGCGGTTTACTTTAACGTCTTGTGCCGCTACTTGCAGACGGCGTTTTAAGGATCTCGCAGGTTCATTATATATATATACTAGCATAAAATGCGATAGTAACAATTTGGACTGAATCGAAGTACGCCATAGAAGCAACGAAGGTAGAAAAAAAAATGGAGGACGATAGGATTCTAGAGAGAGAAAGGTATCAAATGGAGCAAATACGGGAGCTTGAATCGGAGGAATTGCAAGTTGAGGAAGTCGATGAAGAATCATCAGACGATGAAACTAAGTAAAATTATATACATGTTTTGCTTTTTTGCATTTTGATTTGTTGTTAAATTTGTGTGGTGATCGTATTTTCTAGGGTTTGTAGTTTGATTTATTATGAAGTGTGTATATTATGGCTTTTGGTATCAATGTTTGCATGTTTTGTAGCCTTGTGGTTTTGTTGTTTTCAGATTGGAGTAGTTTTTGAGATGTTTATGTGCTTAATTTATCTATATCACATATCTTGTATCTGCAAATTGAAAATGGAAAGTAAAATTGGATCATTTTGTGCTTACCTAGACTAATTCCATGAATACGTGTCACCTCGCATAAGCTATAAGTACTAGGTAACTTTGTCCACCAAGGTTAGAGGAAATGAGAAGAACATGAGACATCATGGTGCTCAATCACTCCATTGACCATTAGGTCACACCCTTGGGGGTGCGAAAAGTCCAAAATTATAGTATTAGATTTCTTTGTACCTAGATAAAGGAGAGAGAAGTGAAATGTAGGCAATTGGATGACGTGGAGTATTGGAACATAAAAGTATGTCGTTTCTCTTATGTGAACTGGGAATCACTTTTCAGAATGCCTATTAGAGATTTACTTGGACTGTAGGTATCATCATAATAAGAGAAGAATGTAAGAGATAGATCTTTTTTCATTATTTAGATCACTTCTGTTTTTCCTCTAGATTTGTCACCTATTTAATTATAAACTAGTCTGTCTAGTGCTGCCTATCTACTTTTTTTTTTTTAATTTCTGGGCGGATACATCTTCTCTTTGGATCATTTAAAATAGGATGGATTTTTCATGTTCCTTGCATAGGTTTGTGTCCGATAGTTACATCAATGCAATATCATGTTGCGTATGTTCAAACATAAGTCGGTAAACAAAAAAAGGGGGTGGGGGTGGGGTTATTAGAACTTTGAGAAGTTATAAGTAACTTAAGCCTTGTAGTCATAGCATGTAGAAGTATACTTCAGTCGGAACTGAAGAATGTGGTTTTGCGGACAATGAATTGGGATGAAAACCACAAGATCATGTTCAAATCTCAGCAGAGACACTGTATAGTTCAGGTGCGTCCAAGTTATCCAAGAAACTAATATATCCAAATATAAGTTGGAGGTTCTAACACAGTCCCAAATGTGCTGATCAATATATTTTGTCTAATAATCCCTCTGACTATAATATTTCAGTGCTTAATTGGGTGTGGAGTTCAAGAAAGAACACACATATGACATACTAATAGTACCCTGGAAGTTGGAACTGCAGTGTTAGACATGCCACAACATTTTGATGGCTATAAGAATTCATTAAAGGTAAAATGAGAGGTTTAAAGTTGAAGAATTTTCTATATTCTGAGACAAAACGCTACGTGATTTCTTACATATGTCCTAGCCTTGGTGGATAGAGTTACATAGTATCTGTTGCTGGTGGGTGGTGACATACATCTATAGAATTAGTCGAGGTGCTAACAAGTTGTCCCAGACACCACGATTACTAAAAAATTGTTGTCATGCTTTTTTGGAATAGACTAAAAATGGAACACGCGCCATATAAAAAATGAAAGGGAGGGAGTTACTCTTTTTCAGCTATGATCTAATGGATTTTCATTTTCTCATTTAAAGTATCAATCAAGAATTTCTGTACTAAAAGTACGAGAAATGATTTTTTTTGTACTTGGCTTCTGATCATAGTTACCGTAGTTCGGGGGGAGCATCTGCATCTGGTGAATTTACTTACAACACCTCTCTGGCTGCCTTACATTCTTACCTTGGTGGTAGGTGTAATCTGCTTTTCCATCTCATTTTTTTACTTTTTTGAGATTATGCAACTTTCATGTTATTTGACTTATTTTTAAACATTTTCTTGTGTCAGATGTTGAAGATACTCATAACAGGCTGGCCTTCTTGGATGGAGGAGCTGTCTTAAATGTTCCTCTGTTCTATCTAGAAGGTAAATTTCTCGGTTTGGACTGTATTTTTTCAATTAAAAGTATTTATGGAGGAAAAAGAAATATGAACATTAACTGTATGAAACACGTTATCTTGTTTGTACAGTTGTAGATGTGAGGTATACAGCTACATGATGTTTGTGAGTTCGACTAGATCCTATATTTTTGTAGTTAGAGAAGTGACAACCGTGCATGAAATCTTTTACCATAAATGCATGGTATTTTTGTTACTTGATTTCAAATTAGCATCTGAACTTTTCTTTCAGCTCAACAACTGTTTCAGAGTTCAGATTTATACCCAGCAGATGTTAACTCATGTGGGTTTGTCTTGGGTAGTTTAACATCCTTCGCAGTGTCTTATGTGCTTTATTTTACTTCCAGGAGTTGTTTTATTTCCCGAGGCCACACTTCCTTTGCGAGTCATTCAGCCTAATTTTATAGCTTCTGTTGAAAGAGCACTGAGGCAAGTTGATGCTCCTTACATAATCGGCGTGGTAAGTGGATGCCTAATGGCACTGATATTTTGTTCTCTTTCCCTAGATTTTGTTTCTCTTTGAGTGGGATTGATGGTAAAAATTTATTCCAGATCCGAGTTTACAAGGATCCAAATAATGGAAGGATTAAACTTGCAACCACCGGTACAACTGCTGAGGTAATGGAACTTAAATCCTCTGCTTTTGTTGATAGTTAATCCTCTGTCCTTTTATAGTCTAATTGATTATATTTGCTAGAAACTGGTAGAAATGTTTCTGAGCGTGAATAAGTAGACAAGAATCTCAACTGTTTCTGAAGAAGAAATTTCATGTGGGCTTTGTGACATTCCATCTTGTTACTAGATTTTTTGCAGATCCATTTATTTCTCATGACTGGTATAACATTGAAAAATTTCTGGGTCCAAGGAAGAATTTCTAGTTCGACATAATCTAAATTAGAACATACTGGAGCTTCCTGTTTTTAGTTTATTTTTTTAAAAAAAAAAACATGTTCTAGAAGCAGATCAAATCTGTAAGGTCAACTCTTTTTGGTAATACATCCCTTTTTTGTGAAGTGGGAACTTATGAGGTGCATACAGTTAATTGATGGCAAGTTCAAAATGGTAAAAGCAATGTTTATAAGTTCTTTTCTTTCTGTTGTATATGTTAGTTGCATGAGTGAGTTATATTTGTTTTTGGTATTCCCTCTGTGCTTTCGATGTCACCACTCATGGTTGCTTGGGATATTTAAGCTTAGAGTTAATTGACTATATCTTTTGTTAGTTACTTACCTTATGAACAAAAAAAATCTTTATGTTAGAAGATTGGTGGAAGAGACTATCTTAATTTTTTTGAAGCAAAAGTGATCCCATGTAATCTTTGCTGTTACAAAAAATTCAAGGTAATTATGAACAATTAATGAATTTTGGAGCTGGAAGAAGTTTCCAGTGCCCCAAAGATAGCAACCAGGACTTCCTATATTGGAGCAGATTGTTAGTGCTAAAGGATATATCAAAGATGATCTTGCCTGTAACTAAAGTAAACAACTGAAAGATATACATCCTTCCACTGAAAGCTGTTCAGTGTGGATTAAAAATGCATGCATGTTGAAATATGGAAATGATTTATGTTTAAAATAGTATGAGCCTTGGGACGGTTAGAAGGTCCTCCATTATGAGAGTGACGCAAGCTAAATAAGGGGGTGAGCAGTGCTGCAATAATGAATGTAAAAGTGGCTAAAATTTGACACAATGATTAGCTTGTTCTGCTACAATGTTGAATAAGAAATCAACTTGACTACCATGCCGTTTCAAATAAACATGCAAGGAGAATATACACATTGTACAGGGAGTCAATATATTTATGTTTCAGCAACATATCGAAGATGGTTTATTGTATGACTTGCTGATCCTGCGTAGCTATGTGTATACTGTTTCAGATTAGACAATACCGGCACTTGGAAGATGGTTCGGTGAATGTTGTAACTCGTGGACAACAACGTTTTCGTTTGAGGCGCCGCTGGATGGATGTGGAGGGATCAGTAAGTGTACAACATATACTATTAATTTTTTTAAAAAAAAGGTATCCGAAATTTTTTCATCTTCATTAATTCATGTTCTGTTACATCTTTTTGTCTAGCCTTGGGGGGATATACAGATTGTCAAAGAAGATTTGCCATTGAGAACACCCAGAGAGGCTGTTGGAAGATTAACACCATTAAGTATCTTCCAATCTAATGTACATAGTCAAATACCACCGATGAATCGCTCTCGAGCTGACCTATATGGCTTTGGGAATGAAAATGATTCGGATGCAATGTCAGAGGAAAGTTTTGAAAGTGAACTTTCACCCACAGAAAGGAGGTTGCACCAGGCTGCTCTTGTTTCTTGTGATATGCTTGATGAGTCGGCGAGCAGTGACGATGAGAATATTGACCAGCAGTTCCGTATCCAACCTGCGAGATCTCCTTTTGATAGTTTTAGAAGGTCATTCAGCACGGGTAAAAAACAAGAGGCTGACGGTATGAGGCTTGCTTTAGGAAAAAGGTCTATGCCAACAGACAACACATGGAAAAAGCATTCTCTAAACCAGTTTCGTGAAGCTCCAAGGGCCTTTTGGCCCAGTTGGGTTTACCAGATGTACGATTCATACTCTCTTGCTCAAAGGGCAGCAGGTGAGGTGGTCTTCACTTTCTCCTATTAGAAAATTATGGATGATGAATGTTCCAAATTTGGTCACACTAGTTTGGACTCTTTAGTAGCTGCAGTTATGACATTGTAATAATGGTGAAAAGACCTTTCTTCCTTCTCTTCTCATAAAATCATTTTAGAGAAATTACATATGCTAAAATCTGGGTATTTTGAATTGAAATTGAACTCATTGCTAAGTGTGGTTTATGCTATCATGTGTTTTCTCCTCCATCTTGCCATAAGAGGGGCTTCTCTTTGCTCAACACTTAGCTATCAACTTGTCTTAGATGGAAATCGCCTGATTTTTTGACGACAATCATGGGTAGACTAATCCACAATGTGAACTATTTTTACTCTGTTAATCTCAGTAAGTTTGTGGTCTCAAGCGCACTTTGATAATTTATTCTTCTGGTGTTTTCTCAGCTTTGATTCAACGGGGTCATTTGAGTAAGAAGTTACATTATCTGTAAAATTGAGACGGTTGTATTAATGTTGAGTTGAAATTTTGCAGGTCGATGGAAACAGATAGTCAGGGCACCCAGCATGGACAGTTACATAACGAAGCCAGATCTTCTTTCATTTCATATTGCAAGTAAGATGCCCGTGTCTGAATCAACAAGGCAAGAGCTTTTGGAGATTGATGGAATATCCTATAGATTGAGACGGGAAATTGAACTGCTCGAGAGTTTTGACTGTGTTCGGTGTAGAAGTTGTGAGGTAATGTAGCAAATGACCCTTACTGATTTTAAATAACTGAATATTGTATCACTTGCTGTTCCATTTTTCCCTTCTCGAGGACACTAATTGTGATGTTGAAAATGACACTAATGCTAATCTGCTGTTTTAAATAAGTTAAATATTGTGTCACTAATTGTTGTATTTCTCCCTTCGCATAGACTCTAATTGCCAAACGGAGCAATATGTTGGTGATGTCTAGTGAAGGCCCTCTCGGTGCTTACGTTAACCCACATGGTTATGTACATGAGATAATGACACTGTTTCAAGCAAATGGGTTGGCTGTTATTGGAAATCCTGTTAAAGAATACAGCTGGTTTCCTGGGTAAGTTATTTTCACTTGGCTGATTTTTATTGTCAACTATGTCTCGTGTCAATTATTTCCATAATTCGATCTTATTTTACGAAATGCATGAGTAGTGAGATATTATGAATCACACTAAGGTGTCAGATGAGAGTACGTTGAAGTACTCACTGCTCGACATTAGTTGTGATAGAAGTGACTTATACTTGGAAACATCTTCATGGTTTGTTTTTAGCCTCTTGTTCACTCATCTGGAACATGAGAAGGTAGTCTGCTCCCTGCATTTTTATAAAGGAAATCGATGAAAATGGACATCGATAATAGAGTATAGTGAATTATTTTTCAATGGTTACTTGTTCACTCATCTGGAACATGAGAAGGTAGCCTGCTCCCTGCATTTTTATAAAGGAAATCGATGAAAATGGACATCGATAATAGAGTATAGTGAATTATTTTTCAATGGTTACTTGTTCACTCATCTGGAACATGAGAAGGTAGCCTGCTCCCTGCATTTAATGGAAATGGATGCAACTGGACATGGATAATACAGTATAGTGACTTGTTTTTCAATGGCTAATTGCAACAATGTCTGGTTTCTTGTGCAATAAGATATGATCTCTTAGTTGCTATATCACGAAATCTCGGTGTGAAGAGATCTGATACCTAAGAATGACGTTGTTGTATGTAGGTACGCCTGGTCAATCGCTGAATGCGCGACTTGTGAAACTCAGTTGGGATGGCTTTTTACTGCTACAAAGAAGAAACTTAAACCCAGGTCATTTTGGGGCATTCGAAGTTCCCAAGTCGCTGATGATTCACGTTGAAGCTTTGGTATTTCATCGACCTGGTTTGTAAATTTGAGAGCTTTTGTACTTCAATAATAGCTCTTTACTTCCTAATCTGAAGTGTAGTATTTCATGCTCTTTATAACATGTTAGAACTTTGTCTGGGTTAAAATTTACATTGGCATATCAGTTTTGAGAGTGTTGCGAGATAAAATTACAACAATATTCTACTAAGAAAACATTTACGTTTGTTGCTAGGGGGGATTGACTTATAAGTACTTCAGTTACAAATTTTATGGAGTATCATTATTGTGGGAAGTGTGTTAGTAAAGACTGCAAAGAGAAGAACCCACACATGATTCTTTAGTAGATTCTAATAAACAAGTTCACTAGGAAATTTGAGGTACGCATAATTCAAATCCGAGAACATGTGGTCACAATAGAAACCACCTCTCATATCTAAGGGTCTATAGAAACCACCTCTCTACTAATCTACAAAGATAGGGGTGTACAAAGATAGGGGTGATAGGGTAAAGTCTACGTTCACACTCCCCCTCCTCCAGATATAGAGCAAACCATAAGGCATCATCCAGCCACCTTCTCCACCCTCCAAATATGATGTTCGCGCACACTTCTTTTAGACCACTAAGCCACACCTTTGGGGGCCAAGACCTTAGCTCCATCCAAGTGTGCTACGTACCAATTTGATGCAGAACAAACTATCATGAAACTTCTGTATTATCTATTACTAGATCCTCGAAATATTCCGAAGCTGGGAAGAGAAAGCAGCTCCAGCCAATCGTCAGATGTAGCTAGAGAAGCATCTATGCGCACCACAGAACTGTGCATACCAAAATTGACATGGGGTCACCTAAATACAAAAGGACACACCACAAGACTAGAAAGAGGCTAGGATTGCATTTGCAAGTTGGACCACCCTTCAAAGAAAAGACAGGTTTCCAAGTAACAAATTAAGTTCATCCACAAATACTAGGTAACAACTTTCATCGGATTAGCAGCTACTGTAACCATGTTAAGCCACAGGTAGGCAGACACCTACCACCCAAATAAAATTGGTTAGTGGACTCTGGAAGAATATGGCATTACAATGTAGCCACAATTTTCTGCACACACTACAAAAGATCGAATATCGTGTAGACAACATAAGGGCAGCCCGGCGCACTAAAGCTCCTGCTATGTGTAGGGTCAAGGTAAGGGCACTGTAGGCAGCCTTACCTTGCATTTCTGCCAGAGGCTGTTTCCAAGGCTTGAAACCGTGACTTCCTGATCACATAGCAGCAACTTAGCAACTTCAACTTTACCAGTTACTCCAAGGCTCCCCTTCATCGTGTAGACAGCATAAACACATAAAAAGGAGTTCCTGCAACAAAAAGTGCAAACAGCTGCTGCCATTTGCATTACCTAAAACCCTATAGTCATCAGAATCCGGGCACGACATGATTGACCGGCTGATATTGCTTCGTGAAAAAGCTTCATTTTTTCCAGAAAGGGGAAGGGTGGGTATATCAGCTCTGATAGGGAACTCTGCAGATTCCAGAATCCTCTGATATCACCCCCCAAGAATCACAAGAAAATACCAAACACATGAGAAAAGGAAATACAAGTTTGAAACGAAGACGCAGCAGTTGAAAACAATTCTAAGGAACTTACAAAGTAGACCACAACAAGTAGATCAAGGGAACCTCCCTAGAGAAGAGAACATGAAATCACAAACGTTTAGTAGTTTGTCAATTTGGAATTAGTCGGGGTTATATTAATCAATGTTAAATGGAGCAGGAGCTTGTTCATGTTTTGGCAAATATATAATCTTACAAAGACTTCCTCCACTGTGAAAGTTAAGAACATACAACAAGCTGACCACTTTCACGTGAATTTAGATATATTGTGGTGTTTGGTAGCAAGTAAAATATATTCCAACTGTTATCATGGAGAACAAGTGGGTTTCTTGCTTGTTTTCTAATGTTTATCTCAAGAGCATTTATTTTCAAAATCAAGCAAAAATACTATGGGAGGTAGCATCTAGCAAAATCTAGAAAATTTTGATCTGTTTAAGTGAAAAAGAAGTAACATGGGCAACAGACCAACCTTCCACCAGAATAATAGCGCTTCTAAATAGCCTTAGATACTCAAAATCCTAATAGTGGCAAACAAATAATTAACTTACACATTTCAAGGACAAACAAAACAAGGATAACTACCTCTTAGCAAACTGGAAACTTACACATCTCAAGGACAAACTAAACAAGGACAACTCCAGAATAAGAGTTTACTGTAGAGTAGAGCTAACTCCAAAATATATGGTCTGACATGACCTGTGCTGAGAATTAAAATTTCCAGTGACCAAAACTCCATAATGATCATGAATGCACATAAGGAGTGATGGAGTTAACATATAAAACAACAGGAACAAAGTGCTACCATAAAGCAAGTAAAAATGCATTTCCAGCGCGAACTTGCTGTGAAGAATTAACTGATATAATATATGGTCTGACATGAGCCAAAACCGGGAAGGGGCACGAAACATAGAAATAGAAAATGAAACTACTAACAGTTTGAAATCCCTTACAAATTATTAAATTTCAGGGTCCACAATACTACAGAATATCCTGTTTTGGTCGTCTCTGAAACTAATTATTGTTTAAGCTGTACAATCTTTAACCAATATGTAAATTACTCCCATCCTAGCTCCAGAACTGCCTATACTAATATTCACATACATTGATGGCAATGGATTTTGCAAATAGCATTCCCAAATGAAAAGAAAAGCCGGGTTGACAAGCACGAAACAGTATCATCTATTTTTCTCCATTAGTTAGAAAAATATGAAGGATGTTGCTCAAGGCACATTCAGGGTTATCACACGGCACCCAAGAAAATTAGCAGCCAAACCTTGGTGCCTCAAGAAACAGTTCGCCCATAACAGATAGATGCAAGGTAAAGATTTTTTGCCCATTTCTCCTGCAGCGAGCACAATCAATAGTTAACAATGGAACATGGAGTCAAAAAAATCACAAATAGAGTGGTTCCTGATAAGAAAAGCATAATTGATTATTTAAACAACCTTGACATGAGTGCTAGGAAAAGCAGAAGTACGAAGTGTCTCTTGTGTTTCATCTGCAGGTTTCCTTCTTGGAACACTTAGAACTAAAGCAGCTTGATCCCATGTGGCTGCAGTTGACGTAATCCTATATCCAGCATCCCATCTCCTATGGACCCCTTCACTAGGATAGAGAAAATCTAATTCCACCACCTGCAAATCATACACCGAATTACAAATCTGAACACTAGCAAGTTACCCTAAAAATCAAAAGAGAATCCACGATAAAAACCTGATCCGAAAACCCAGCCCCACGAGACATAACAATCGCCCATCTACTTCCTGCAGTTGCCATGGCAGTGACATAAAAACCCTCTCTCCATTTTTTGTTAATCCACTTAAATGGAAAAGACTCGCCGACTTTGTATGACTGCTGCAGATACTGTGTACCTGGCATTTTACAAACAAAACTAAGTTTGGTCTTCCCTAATTCACAGATTATGGTGCAAAACATGTATTTTGCATGCTACAAGAGCTTCACTAACCCTTTGACATGATAACTAATGAGCTCCCATTAGTAGCTCCAGCTATAGCACTTATATAATAATTCTTCTCCCATTGCTCCATAATCCATTCCTATGTTTAAACATACACAGAGGGAATTAGATAAAGCCTGAAGGAGTAAATTGAATTATGCATAAGTTTGCTAGAGGTATAGCAACTATGCAACATAATTTATTTGAATATGCTTCAAGATAGACCACACTCGTTGGAGCATAACAGACCTTATGAAGAAATAAAGGTGACAATTCATAAACTTGGGCGCTGAACCCAGTTCCTGCATCCATTATTAGTGCCCACAAGCTTGAAGAAGATGCCACACTGCTGATAAATAATCCGTCTTCGTTTCCTTTCTCAATGTGCTGAGCTAGTCTCATATCAGCAACATTATAGTGATACCTTCAAGCGAAAACAATGTCACTGCATTGTTCAAGCTCAAATCAAAGAGATTCCAAACTGTATATACCTTTGCTTCATTGGGCGACGAGCATTGTAAACACTGATCCATTGTGTCGCAGGCATTCCCATGCGAACCTTCTTCTTCGGCTGTTCATCATCTTCTTCTTCCATTGTCAATCTTCCTCTTTTCTGCCCAACTTGGTATATAAGCTTCAGAAAAAGAAAAACATGTTAGGATATTCTATTTCTGCTGCTGATTCTTCGACATCAACAAATACATAGAATAAAGATGTATGCAAATAATACCTACCTTCTGTGCACCGTCAGTGTTGATTGGCCTGATTTCTGGATTTGGACCTACTACTCCATCAAATAAGGAGATATACCTAGCATAGTTAGGCTCCTCGTCGAACTTCAAGTTCACAACATATTCCACAAAATGCTTAAACGGAGCAGGGCAGAAGCAGCAAAGAGTTTCTGGAGAAGATGCCATCTTCTTCTTACAGACAAGGAAACCTTTGTTCTCTCCCTAAACAGAAAAAGAATCACGTCACCGGAAGGAGACAGTTACAAGTAAAATGCCGCAAATAAGTTGAGAAAAAGAAAACCTGATATCCCTGCCAAGGCAGCCGGCCTCGGAGAAGAAAGATGAGTGTGTAAGCCAGTGACTCTAAATCATCCCGTCGGCTTCCAGTCCTTCCCAGGTGAGCATGCACACTAGCATACCTTACAGTTCCCCTGAGGCAATGGTTCTCTTGATAGTCAGTGGAATCAGATGCAAAACAAATGTAGCCAAACAAACAGATAGGACGAATTGAAATATTGAATATTGTACCTAAAGACATCAGGCCGCTGATCATACTCAACATGTAAGCCGGTAGAGGCATCACGCCACCTTGTTGCTGGACCATTCAAACAGGTAAATCAGCATATGACCATATTATGCTAAATAGAGCATGATGAAGACACCAAAGAGAGAATATGGGAAAGATGAACAATAAATTGTTTTTTCCTTCTTCTGTTCTAAGCTACAATTAACTCACCCAATCCAAGGTCAACAAGAAACAATTTTTTTTCATCAGGAGTTCCAGGGGTTCCAAGAAGAAAGTTTTCAGGTTTTACATCCCCATGCACATACCTTCAAAACAACATCAGCCAGACAAACCAATCAGATCAATTAAACATTATTTCCTAATTGCTCTTCTTTTTTTCCCTTATCAGGAAGGCCAAAACAGACAGTGTAAGCCATATAGCCAGAATTTATAATCTACCTAAAGATAGAAAACAGCTTCATACATGTAATAAACTAGGAACTGTTAATCTAAGCATGAAATACTTACCCTCTGGAGTGCAATTTCTCTAGTATGGAAATTGCTTCGATGGCAATGCATGCGACCATTTCAACAGACATCCTAAATGGACAACATAAGAACCAAAGAGATTGCAATGAGGTTCAGAAAACAGAAATATGTTTAAAAATAAGCATTAAATATATTAACGTGGATGGAGAATACAACTTACGTATGGGCATTATTGTTCCAGACATCCCATAAACTAGGACCAAGCATATCCATAACCTGTAATTTCATTAAAAGAATTCAGCAGTTCTAAAGGAGATTGGAAACAACTGTAACTTGAAATAAATAATTAAAATAACTCCATTAAACTGCAGAACACATACCATAATATAGTAATCACCTTGACGTCCCTTGTAATGAACACGCGGTATACCATGACTGCCACCAAGTGCACTAAAAAGAACAGGAAAGAACATCAACTCTTAGAAAATATTTAATTACCAGATATCAGTAATATAAATAAGATAACAGAAGGAGCAACAAGCATTAAACGACCACATACTTGTAGACCTGCCACTCATAAGGTGGTCCATGGTTACAACCTTTGCTGCTTCTATGCTCGAATTTCAAGGCAACCTAGAATCAGAAATGATAATTCATCACAATAAAGATTATCATCTTCAGCAAACAACAGAAGAGTAAAAAATTGGAGAAGTAATGAAGTACCTCTACTGCTCCTGGGCCAGTTCTTTCATGTGGATTGGGTGGGTTCGCACGACGACCTACAAACACTTGACCAAATCCTCCTTTACCAAGTTTCCTGTCAATCCTATATGCTGGCGATCCACCAACCTGGACCTATTGGACGCAAAACGACACAATATAAAACGACAATCAAGTCAAGTGCTTCAATGTAAAACTAGGGAAAAAATAAAGTGGAAGAGAAACAAATACTCGGCCTATCTTTCAATTCCCCAAACAAGACCACAGAAACAAAATCTTACTGAGCTCGACTAACGACAAAATTCAAAGAAGTCAAAAAGAACAGAAAGTCGCAACTAGTAGTACATCTAACTTCAATACTTGTAATCCACAGTCAAAACATTACACTAGCCTGCGACCATAGATTTTGAAAATTTGTCTTCCAAACATCTGTCTAGCCAAGAAATTTAAAGTTAGCAACTGACCAAACACAACTTTAAAAACTCAAATTTTCAGGTTCAAAAACTCAATTTTTATAAATTTTAACTTCAAAATCTATGGCCAAACTACATTACTGCAAAAAAGTTAAATCTTTCACACATGGCAGATAGAAGTTTAAGCAAAATTACACATTAGACAAACCCAGAAACCTGCAGCTCGTGACTAGCAGAGTTCAAACTGAAATTACATCCAATAAAACTCAAGCAAGTTATCTAACTTCACAGACAAATTGTTGAAATGAGAGTTTATGAGTTGAAAATGATACCCTTTCAGGCAGTGGAGCAGTGCTGCCTTCATCCTCAGCAGCCAAACCCTTATCACCACTCTGACCGCCACTGTCGTATTCATCCATCTGTTTTTCTCCTACTTCTTCCTCCTTCTCTACTTCCTTCTTCTCCTTATCCTCTTCTCTAGACGCTGTTCTCCTTACAGTATTCTCATCACCTACTGGTACAACCTCCTTCTCCTCGTTATCTGTCTCCTTCTTCTTCCTTCCACCTACTCTAACTCCACCAGCTCCTCTCTGCCTCGTAGTCCGTGCAACAGTTGTTCTCCTTGTAACCCTCTTGTTCTCGTTATCGTTGTTTTCTTCCGGTTCAATCGCAGCAATCGGTTTACGGCCTCTTCTCACTCCACTACGCAATTGAGGCATATCGATCATCCATCAAGTTGTGAAAACCCTAACTCGATCTTCATCAGTCAAAGCTCAGCTTCTAGACTCTTCTTCAACTCACTCTCCTTCACAACTAACAGATCTCAAATAACTAAATCGGAGTTACAGAAATCTGAGCACCGGGAACTCGCCGGCGGTCGGTGGCCGATAAAATTCAAAGGTTTATTGTAGAGATCTATGGAAATGAGAAACGATGAAAACTATGGGTTTGGCTCAAGAGAGACGACGAAAAGTGATGAACTAAGTTAGAGGTGTCAATTCACTTTCATTTCGTTTAGTTTTGTAAGAAAAATTACTTTGCCACAAGTCATAAAATTTCAAAGTCAATTTTTTTTCCTTTTGAACAATGCATTTAAAATTTTATATATTATAAATTAGAGAGTAAATATTTTAAATAATAATTAATATATTAAAAAATTACCATTAAAGAAAATTTTGAAAATATAGGGATGAATTAAAAATACTCCTAATTCCACCACTAATTATTTAGTTTCAATTTCAAATCGTTAATGATCTTAAAAATATATATCTTACAATATGTATGAAAAATACTTTTAAAGTTTTACTAATTCTAAGAATGTGTTCATTCTTCTTTCAACTTTCTATCAAAAGTGTTATTTTTACGAAAGTTTGAAATTATTTGCTATAACATATGACGTATTAAGTTATATATCTAAATTTAATTGAATAGAAAAATATTTTTACGATAATAATTCAAAAATGAATTATTAGTTTTTTACCAAATTTTGGAATTATTTTCAATAATTCCCAAATTTGTATTTTCTCATTCGTTAATTTCTCAACTAAAATTTATTACGATTTTTGGTAATTTAATTTGTTAGTGGAACTCTACGTGGCGGATGATGAATGAAAATACGACAGATAAGAAGAGGCATAATAAATAAGTGATTCTTTTGGACCATTGGGTCATAAGATTTCTAAAAGAATTAAAATTATCTTCAAATATTATATTTTTACTTTAATTTTTTATATTATTTTAATTATATATTGAAATGTCAAAATAAGACAATTTAACCCCATAAAACCTAACACGGGTTAAGAAATTTGATGGGCTAGTACGGATCGATTCTTTATTTGAAAGGGTTATGTTCAATTCAGCCCAACCCTAAAAGAACAGCGGGCTGGGATGGACTAGTCTTTTGTTTTTTTCAAACTTAAAATTCTATTATATCAAGAAAATGAGAAGATTTTCAAATATTAGTGATGTTGTTTCAATAATACTAAATATGTGTGATACATGTATCTCATATGATGATACACAAGCGAGATAAGAGAGTGGCGAGCGAGATGGAAGGAAGGTGAGGGCGCGAAAGTGATTAACATATCCTAGATACATGCAAATTTACTTGAATAAAGTGTATCTATAATAAAGTACACCTAATTTGAGTTCATGTATCTCGAGATACTGTACATAGATACACTAAAATCTAGTAAGATTTGTACTTTTTGCAACATAGCATGTATTTAAATAATTAGCTCATACACTAGTAAAAATTTTGTAAGTTACCCTTCGATAAATAGTTTTGGCCTATGAACCGCCACATCCAACCACGATCAAGCCTCAAGGGTGAAAGGCTTATATGGATCAAGCTTTAAATGGGCTTGAAAATCCTATCTCAATCCTACCCCAATAACGGATTGGATTGAGCCAACCCATTGGCTAAGCCCATTTGATTATTGATTTTCGAGTCTATATTTTTGCAAAGAAAAGCGAAAAATTCATAATTGAAAGTTGAAACTTCAAACTATAACGCTTCTGCTTCTAAGATCAAACTTTATAGTAAAAGTCTAGTACAATGTCATGGAGTTCATAAATGTAAAACCAAACTTTTACAAGTGAAATTTCATAATAGTATCTTAGAAGCTTTTATAAGTGGAACTCAAAAATATCATGCTGACTCAATACAAAGTTATGAACAAACTACGTGTTCTCCTCTCAAGCATAATGTATTGAACTTTAAACTTTAAAAAGTGAAATTTCATTACAGTATCTTAGAATTCGACCTTTTTTATAAGTGGAACTCCAACATATCGTGGTGACTCAATACAAAGTTATGAACAAACTGCGTGTTCTCCTAATGTAAGAAAAGGAAATGAAAAAAAAAACAATTTCCTCACAAATTTCATGTCTGATCTAGCACCTTTTAACATGTTTACCTGTAGTTTTGGCAGGAAGTTCGTGGGAAGAACAAGAGTGATTAGTATCTTCAGAAACCGTGTGAGAACGAATAACATCTCCTTCGATTGGGGTTGGACGAACAAATAGGAGATCGTGAATACCTTTCGTGTTTGACCTGCAGGAATGTTAACAATGCATTTGTTTGGGTTATGTACTGAACATTCATGTTAGAAGGGTTCAAATCAAAATAAACTAGAAGCTAACATAAGTAATTTCTAACCGTGAAGCAGTAGTTCTTTCAGGCTAAAGGTAATTAAATATGTATACAGAATGTTTATGCTAACAAACGGTAGTTTCACAGCTTTGTGAAATAGAATAAGAATGTTCGACAACCTAAATTGTTTGTTCCAAGTATGTCGAACAACACATGAAACAAGGGATCGAGCAATTTTTCATTTGTCTTTGGGGCAAATGCAACGAAATGGAGAAAGATCATATGCTTAATGACAAAATAGATCTACAGCATTTCATTGATTGAACCATAGATACCTTTGATGATCAAATGGGAAACAGGGTGAGATGGAGAGATCAAGAACGCATTATCTAGCATGTAAAAATAAGATAGAAACCAAGGTATTGAGTTGTTCCAAAGGTTTAAGGGAAGTTTTAAAGGGGATTAGAACAAACTGCTACTCGATCAAATGAAACTACTTTGACGTTTTGTCTTGAGGTTTATTTGTTTTGTTTTTTTTCATTTTCCTGATAATTGCTACCTAGCTCTGTCATGAGTGAATTTCAGCCTTGACATATGATGCAGACAAAACAATCATTGATATATTTTGGTAATGTCGCTTGTACTTCTAATTGGTATGTGCAAAGTGATGGGTTGAAATCTATATATTTGTGCAGATGACTTACAATCCACTTAATAAGACATAGAAGCACGAAGCTTTAGAAGTAGGAGAAATACATCCTCTGGAAACCACATGGATAGCAATATCAGGAGAATTGTACCACATCATGAAGAATCCAAGAAAACATGATGTGCATTGTGCAACAGTGAGTTTATAAGGTTATGTGGATGAACACAGGCAGCAAAGAAAAACATATATACACGGTGATGGAAAGCACATAAGTTGAGGTATTCAAAGTAGGCTCGTAAACAGTCACAGGTCACAGTTACCTATTTTCCATTAACATAATCCAGAAGTCTTTTGTCAAGCTCAAAACGCCCACAAAGAAGTCTCTGCAATAAACTTGCAAATGTCATCAGCACAGGATTTCATCGTTCATAAATTACAGACAGCTGAATCTGAAGAAAGAAAAGATACAACTGATCTAAGATGCTAAATTCAAGTACCTATATTTGCACTAAAGAAGGAAAAAGATATTGCTATGTATATTTTTTCAGAACAAATATAGTACTGACAGGAGGTGCCAGAGGATAGCCATAGAAAGCACAATGCATGAATGTGGGTGCGTTTGAACTTTTAGCGGAATCTATTAAAAGTCGAAGGGATTAATGAAGTCATATTTTGGAATATTTCTGAGATTCACAATATCCAATATATTTTTTGAACTAGGATATCATTTGTAAATGTGAACTACGCCCTAGCTGGTCATTGTTAAAGTATGAAAAAATCTGAATCTCAAAATACATGAGGTCAACAATCAAGCATTGTGCAGAAATACATTGATGAAAGATAAAAGGTGAATACTTCTATTATATGGAAACAGAGAAAACCACAAAGTGGAAGCAAACAGTTTAAATATGCAATAGGAGTAGATTACTTCGCTTAGGAACAGAAAGGGCAATTAGGGGATGGGGTAGGAAAACACAACACTTGCACCTTGTGGTAGCAGAGAATACCTTTGTAATGGTAGGACCAAAAACATATGGCTCAGAGTCAAACTCTGGAAAGCGTGCAACCTCTACAGCATTCTCAAATAGAATGTACACCGGAAGTTGGTTCAAGCTTCCTAGATAAGATTTCCCAATGAACCAGTCAATTGAAAAGTCAAATGAAACAACAAAAGCACTTTAAGTGTTAAACACCACAAAATCAACAAATCCAGTTCATAAAACACATGTAAAAGCAGAGTAAATAGTAACACACCAAGAGAAATGCCGAATCTTTCTGCAGCATTAGGGAAGAGTCCAAGATCAATTGTCCCAAAAGATAAATTTGTATTTGAGTATCTGTTCAGGAAAATATATAAGAAACTTGCCATTACAACCAAGAAAAAAAGTCTCAGAATTCAAATTTGGGTTGAACAAATGACCAACTTCATAAAATGCCTCATTAAGTTTTAATAATAAAATCATAATGGAGCATAAACTCACGTTATTGAGAGTTCTGGAAAAAAGGAACTTGTGCATACGCAAGACGATGTGGAGAAAGCGCGAAATTCAACCTGCCAAAGGTGAAAACCATAAAGTATAAGAAGGAACAGAAATACAGAGATTGTATACATAAAATAGAGAGGTCATTTTCATGTCATCTCCATCTTCTTTTTGCCACATGACACACACAAGAGTGGGATTGGATCCTCTTTATTTCTTCTATTCAACTTTCTGATGCAACTTTCTAATACGTGATATTTTTTTTAAGATTCTTAGCCCTGTAGATGACTCCATCTAAAATACAATAGGGACAGCCATTTTCGGCTGCTCGTTTCGTATCTTGAAGAAAGAGTAGGCTTAAGTAATAACATAATCATTTACAAGTTAAACAGTATATATTTGGCCATATAAAATAGTGAAATTTGCTAATAAAAATTTTATTGATCAGAAGTTAAAACATTCTAATCAAGCAGCACACTTACTCTATTAGTCTTAGCATCATCTACTCATTCATTAAATGCAAATTATAGGAATTTCAACAATACATTCTAGTTTTACTTCTGTACCAGATAACTGGAAGAAAAGGAAGAATATAAATTGAAAAAAGAGCAACTAGGTACTGTTGACTGTTAAGAGCCAAATCGGCTCACTTAGGAATGGATGTCTCTTTATATTGTCTTGGACTCTTGGGGAATCCTCTCCTCTTGAGCAAGCTTTCAAGGTTGAGTTAGGCACAAGGTCTATTTAACATGGTATTAGAGTGATGCCTTTCCCGATCATTATTTACCCGATGTGGTGCCACCATCTTATATGTTCCATGCTTCAGATTTTCAGTATTGGGCGTGCAGGGGATGTTTGAGTCCACATCAACTCACTTAAGGATGGGAGGTCTCTTTACATGGTCTTGGGCAATCCTCCCCTCATGAACTAGCTTTGGGTTGAGTTAGGCCCAAGGTCCATTTAACAAGTACCAAAAGAATAATGTTAACAATAACATAGTGCTGACCGTATTGTGGACCCAAATAAATTAAAAAGTTTATCCGCTCAAATACACAAGGATTAGAGGATAACTACAGTGCTTGTATAGCAGACTTAATAGTACCTTTACTATTTCAAAAGAAAAAAAAAGTATCATAGAAGACAGGATCAGCTAGAAGAACAAATATGTGTTGCATTTTCAAAACAAGGTCTTTGTAAGTTTCTGTTTGCACAACACCATTCAAGAGTATTTCCAAATGGCCAAATCTCCTAAGCATTCACAATCACCACAACTAAAATTGTTTGTTCTTATCTTCAGGGAGGCACAACGCTAAGTAGAAACTACAGATAAGGAACCTTTCCAAAGAAAATAATACCAATAAAAAACTGCAGAGAACCAACCAGCCAAAATCGTGATGTATTTCCTTCAGTAAGCAAACTCTCCAACTGTAATGGTGTCAAATGATTTGAAGAACCTGGACGTTTACATTTACACACTCAGTATGCCTTAAATTTATGTTTACAAGTCACTCCATGTACCATATTAAACTCAGAAGACTATAAGAAACAAATGTAGCCTCATAATGGGAGTAGTGAGAGTACCTAGTCCTTCATATGGAGGCTGTTGTGCAATAATATGTATTACTGCAAGGAATAAACCGATACGACAACTGCATTAGACAAAATTACCAAGTATAAACAACAACATATTCAGTGTAATCCCACAAGTGGGGTCTGAGAAGATTACCAAGTATAAACGACATTCTCAAATAAGGGTAACAACAAAGTTGCAGAAGGCTAAGAAAGTCAGTAAGCCATCCATCTAATAGATAGATTTCTCATAATGCTTATTCATGCATCGCATTATGACAATCATAATGCTTTTCAACATCCCTATCAAGTTTTAGAGCTAGCACTATCAGAAACTGCAAACAAAGAGTAGAACCCACCTAAAAATGCCAATGCATACCAGAGAGCCAAGTGATAATCCATAACTAAAGCAATGGCAGTAAGGAAAATCTGAAAAGAAGCAGTTTTGTGTTAAATATTCCAATGTAAATAATAAGAATTCAACAGAAGCTATAAAATATGATGCCGAAGTATGCACAATCAAAGAACAGAAATTTGAGAAATGTCAGGATGAACCCTATTTACAGTATTAATTTCCTAAAAAGAATTCCTCTGCTTGCTACATATCATACTAACTGAACGCAATGCAATGACAAGTCTGCTAATTGCCGCAGATTTGTTTTTTCTCCCTTCTTTTGTATAAGCATAGTGTAATATTTAAAGAGGATCAAGAAAGATTAAATACGCCACTTTCACCATGTTCGTTCTTACTCCTAAGATTTCTAAATTTTTGAAACCAGTACCACTAAGATCAATATGGGAAAGTCTGCAATATTTTTTTCCAATCATGGGGAAAGTCTGAAATGCTATGACTTAATAAGTATCATAAGTTGTAATTCAAGTTTATCTTCCCATTATAAGTTTACAAACTGCCACTGCTCAAACATCAATAAAATTGTTACTTTATCAACCAAAAAAAAATATACAAACTGCAATTGGTCACTGTAGGACTGATCCTATGATTACAGAGGCTCTTTTTTATGTTTTTTCTTTCAAGCAACTGCTGAAAGATTACTTCTTTTCATTCCTAAAGGTATAATATGGAAAAGAAACCCACTATAATAAAGGCCTTTTGCAAAATTAAGGTTTTAAATGATTGCAACAACTTTCCAATTTTACTGTGATCCTTTTTATTTAGTTAACTACCCGTTTTGGGGGTGGAAGTGGGGGTGGGAGGATATTACACACACACTCCTGACAACAGTTTCAAGTTGCAAGGTAAATCAATTAAAGTCCGTGGCATAAAGGGAACTGTGCTTCCTTTTTTACTTCTAGTCTAGAAAGAAAGTACACATATTCCCAATAAATTTTTTCAAGATATAAAAAATGATAGGTCAATGTAAGAGGTGTCATTTTCTTTACTGTACAAAATGTCACCATACTACAAGCGCACAGAGCCCTTAGCAGCCATAACTTAGCTGAAAGTTCAAAATAGAATATTTAAGCAAGTAGTGCAACAATCAATAATTTTTCAGACAAGTTGGACTAGTTCTTCCTTTAGCTCAAAAGCCCTGATGAGCTGACTTCAGCTAGTACTACATCTGTCCTATATGATTATGACCTAATTTGGCTTATGAGGGTTGACTGGTTAGTTTTGTTTCTTCTATTGGACATAGATTTACTTATTTACTGAAACTTGATATCAATTCTTTATTCAAGCTTGAACTGAAGAAACACATGGAAAATACTACTACTAATCACCAATTTTTGAGCTAACACGATTTAAAATATGGAGTAACTAAGCAGGGTCTCACACAAAGAAGAATCTAGCTGATTTTCTACATTATATCTTGGGAAACAAAATGAGATGGTGGTTAATATTACCGGCATTTTGGATAAGTTAAAGATTTGAAAATCACAGATAGCTATATCCAGTCATTCACAAACATATTAATTATAAATCATGATGAAGAGAGCAGAATTATGTGAGGATTGAGGATGAAGAGCATAAAAATAACAGATATAACCTTAGCAAACAACAAAGTATCTTGAATGAAGGATTCCCAGCTTTCTGTCCTTACTATCTGCCGCGCAAAGTAAACAACAATGTCAAAACAACAGGTATAGATCTCTCCTTTTCAAGCAACAATTTTAGGCATCAAACAACAGAAAATTCAGGGGCTGGAGAGCAAATTGTATGCAATGGAAATGTTACACGAGTTCGTTGAATAGGATAAGGAAAAGATTTAATGCTGCTTTAATGCTCCAATTGAGAAAATTAGGTGATACTGATACATATCAAAGGATAAACTCCAACCTGAACAGTCTGACTATGAAGTATGAACTCCTATTGAAGTGAAAAAACATGTATATTGGATAAGTCTTTGGGATGAGCAAGGAATGAGCAAAAATATGAAGATAAATTGATAAAAGCAAGGTCTCATATGCTACATTTTTATTGGAAAAGGATCAGCTAAATAGTTACCTTCACAACAGTTAAGACACAGTATGCAACAAACACTTGAATCTCCTGCCAATGAAACAGAAAATCGTGAATAAGACTAATGACAGCACAGAGAGGGACAGAATTTCAAACAAGTATATTACCAGCTTGTTGTTTACATGGTTGTGAAATATTCTTTCATAATATATCCTATTGTATAGGACTATATTGCTTTGATAAGTACCGTTTATCGATAGATTGTAGTATTGTTTTTGTCTTTCATCATGGCAGATGAGAAGGAAAAAAAAAAGTAACAACACTGCATACGAGTCGTTACTCCACTATCACCAACTGTTTCATTTTCCTACCTGAACTATCACCATCTCTGTATTAAAACACACCTAGTTGAGTAAATAGTGATAGTTCAGCTAAGATAAGGTAACAAAGCCATCAAACCAGTCATTACATAAAACGAAACTTTTCATCTTTACATAACAACAGATTTAACATTATGATATAAATGATCAAAAACACATCGAACTGACACTTTTTCGCGAGTTTCACATACTAACCATAAGCTGTTCCTTTTTTCTATTGGAACTATCATCAGCTATTCCATTTTCCTAGCTAACGTATTAGATAGTTAGTCCAATCAGCTTTCCAGGTGTGTATTACTACATATTTGAAGTAACAAATACAATACAATAGCTAACAACCGTCCCAAACAAATTCATTCTCATCAGTCATTGCATGTATCATGTATCAATATAGCTACAAACAAAACAACTTTATTCACACACACACAAAAAAAGCGAGATTCAAGCCGAGAAGAGTATATACTCGTTTAAGCAGGAACGAATTGCGAGCAGGGTCAAGGATTTGGAAAGCGGAGCATCGAACGGGGATGTATGAGAAGAAAACTAGCAAGTGAAACAGATAATACGGCTCCGAAACCATCAGATTCAACCATCTCACTGGATCGTAAGAAGATTCCTGATCTCGTTGAACACTCGATCCGCCATTGCTGTTCTTCGACATAGCTGCAGATCCACCAAATGAGCTTTTTGATTCTGCAAAAATGCTAAGAAGAATTCATTTGAATATTTAGCCTGAAGCTTTAACGAACTGAGAAGAACTCAAATGCCCAGTTTTGATTTGAACTTGACCCGGGTGAGTAATTTGCATTTTTGCACCCTTAAATTTATGCAAAAATTTTATTTGCACCATATTGTTTTAAAATGTATGATTAACCCCATTTCTAATTAATTTTTAAAGTGTTTTTTGAAAAAAAATAATTTTTGTGTTTGGAAAATCAATTTGAACAAATGTTTGGTTAAATATTTGAAAGTATTTTTTAAAAAATAAATAAAATAAAATTCACCTCCTAAAATAAGTTATGCTACTATCAAAAGGATTTTTGTTTTTTTTTTCTTAAAAGTTTTTGTACTTTTGGTTATTAGAAGTTTGATTAAATAGATCATCAATTAAATTGTGTGAAAAAATTGGTTTTTTTTTCTTATCTTAGATTCAAAGAAGGGGAAGGTAAAAGAGAATAATGAAAATCCAAAAAAGTAAATGTCAATATGAAAATAAAAGAAAAATATAAAGCAAATTGTGGTTTTTTTTGTTATTTTAGTTTTATTTCTGAAATTTATTACTGGATAAATTCTTGATGTAATATATACCTTTTCATCGACATCAAAACGATTGTCTACCAATCGATTTGGGGGGAAAATAATGGTTAATACAATACAAAAGAAAAATGAGTTAAAATATGAGTTTTAATAAAAGTACCAAAAAAATCTTATCAAACTCCTTAACGATAATATTTTGTTTGTTAAATCTACATCAAAATATTCAACAAACAAGGGTTTATACGTTCTATTATGATTTATTTTCAAGTATTAGGAATTCTATGTAAATGTAAATTTGACCGAGAAAAGTATAAACCATATATATTGAATCTGTTAAAGTAAATTTACAAACAAAATATTATCGCTACGGAGTTTAGTAAGCTTTCTTTGGATTGCACTTCTGTCCACTTCATGAAGTTTATACAATTGTCAACTACTTATTTAGTTAAAAACTTATTAAAAGAGACATTAATCGCATAATTATATAAGGATTGCTCTAAGTTAATAACTTTGCCATGTGTATGTAATACATTTCTTAGATCTTGTTGCATAATTTTTTTTTTATATATAATAGAAAGATCTAAATAATCTAATTTAAAGTCTAAAATATTTTTATAATTGAAAATAAGATTTTGGAGCTTATTTTTCTTGCAAATTTCAATATTTTTTTTAAAGTAAAAATAAATTGATAAATCAATATTTTTCTTTGTGGACTATATTTTACCTGGGCTACAATTATCTTTCTGGGCCCAATGTGAGAAGACATCCTTGTGTTTTTGTTGTTTTTTTTAAAAAATAATTACATAAATCACATCGTTTTAATATGAAATTATAATTCATTCCTAATAAATTTCTAATTATATTATTTTCCTAATAATTAAAAAAATAGATTACAATAATTGAAGCTCGAAAACATTAATATGTAACTCGGATATATTAAATATTGTCTCGACTACATTAATATGTAACTCAAATACATTAAAAACTAATTCAGATACATAATATTAATATGTAACTCAAATACATTAAAAACTAATTCAGATACATAATATGTAGCTCAGATACGTTAAATACTGACTCGGATACATTAATATGTAGCTCGGATATATCAAAAAAGAAACTACACAAAAACATACTTTTTATATAAAAGTTATATACACCATGCTAAAACTATCTTCTAAAGTTAAGTGATTACAACTTCATTTGATAGATACATTAGCATCGGCCATGCTCAGCTGAAAAGTATACATATATATATAAAAAAGTTAGTGAAAAGATCAGAACAATACACTAAGTTCTTACTATGTACGGATCCAGGAAAGGGCTAGATCAACCGAAAAGTATATATACATACTACTACTAACAAGCTATGAGGAAATAGGCATGACACTATATGGATAATGGATTGGCGCGTTTCGAGCTAACAATATACAAGTTCTTTTACCCATTCATGGCTTCTCTTCTTCCATCACCTCTTCTTTGCATGGACCATAAGCTTTACTACAAACAATGTAGCACAGTATGTTAACCAGACTAAATCCTGCAAGAACGAGATAATAGTAGTCGTAATGACCCTTGTTTATATTGCTCGATACCCAACTTTCTTCCCCTCCTCTTTTAGTCAAGTCATCGATAGTGCTCATTATAGAGCTAGCTAGTAAGCTTCCAACTCCCATACCAACTCCTAATAGAGAAGCAGCTACACTAGACATGCTTCTAGGAAATTCTGAAATGTAGAATTCGTTTTGGCCAATGGCATGCAGGGCCTCTGCGAAGCCAGTAAGGGAATTCTGGGGAAGTAGAAACATAGCTGACATAGGGATCATACCTTCTGGATCATCCGAGTATCCCTCCTTGATTGCAATACTTCTCCGAACACCTTCTACAACTGCAACCACTAAAACTGACAGGAAGGAAAGAAACAACCCGAACCCCATTCTCTCTTTTGTGCTGAAATGAGCAGGTTTTCCAGTCATTTTTGATGCAGTGGGAAGAATCAAATAATCGTAGAGGACAATCCAAAGTATAGCAGAGATGACAGCAAATATGCCGAAGGAGGCAGCTGGGATTTCAAAGCTTGAACCAATATGTCGATCCATGGTATTCGCTTGAAGTACTGGAAAAGTGTTCTGGCTTATGTTTATGGACAATAAAACTCCCGTCAACCAGATTGGAACAACTTTGAGCAATGCTTTCAGCTCCTCTACTTGATCTACAGTGCAAAGACGCCAAGGGTCTGTCGCTTCTCCATCTGGACTCAGATCTAGTTGAGGATCTTGTATAATGCAAGCTTTATTCAAAAACCTAAAGGCAATATATTGAAGTTAAAACGCAGTACGAACAAATGTATCAGGACCGAAAAAGGGTATCACTAATTTTGAACATGACATGAGGTCTCTTTAAACAATAATAGCTGGAATCATTAGCACAATGAGTTATGCATGTCATCAGCAGGTGCAGGTTATAACAATGAACTTCACGATTGCCTATATAGGTGAGAGAAGCAACAGCTATAATGATCGATCAAATAATAGATTAGTTAAGGAAGAAAAAGCATACAGGCTAGATAACCAAACAGCAATTTACCATCACATAGGTTCTGTTTCAAGCATATGCAGAAAGTAAAATAACCAACAGAAAAACAAACGTTTGGTAAGAATGACGTTACCTTAGTTTTTCACTTGGAAGAACTACGGTTGACCCTTTTCTCTGATGATATTGTATACCTTCACTCTGTGACGACAATTTGGGACATCTATTTCTATAAGAAGCTACAATCACTTGAAAAAGGCCAGTGATTAAGGTCGATTTAGGCTTCAGCTTCACGAAGAATGGAGTACCCAAATAAATTAGAAGAGTTGAAAACAACATTAGCAAAACAGGAGCTCCAAAACCTAAAGCCCACCCCATGTTGACTTGGATATAAACAAGACATGTGAGAGCAACCAGGATAGACAAAGCATACAAGGCATAATACCAGCTGAAGTATCTCTCCATTAAACGCGCATTGTCTTGATATATTTCCCGTTTCAACTGATCAGAACCAAATGCCAAAGATGAGGATTTGACTGCACCTGCTCCAATGGCAACGATGCCCAAAGAGAAACATAGGAAGAAGAGTTGGAACGTCTCTGCTGATCTGCAAATGTTATTGGAATCACAGGGCGGGGGCCTTGCTTGCGGAATCACCGATGTCAGCCAAAACAGAAGCATCCCCTTCAAAACACATAGAATATCTAGAATTATTATCAGTAGATTTACCTAGTTCAAACAGATCACTATGGGTGAGCCAATTCTCAAATTGTGAATTGGTACCAAGCAATTAATGGGGAATAGAGTTGCTACCTCCTCCCCCTTCCCTCAAGTAAAAAACTTGTCAAATGGGAACACATGTTGTACATTTATGTTTACATGATCATATTGGTAAGCTTGTGGCTGCTATTTCTAGAACTTTGAGTTCACATGCAATCATATTTGCAGAGACTATTGCTATTCATGTCGGTAACAGCTTTTTTACCACAGGTGATTAATATTTTGTGCATTTTGGACGTGCCTCTAAGTTGTTACTTACAGTCATACATGGGCTGCAAACATACAACGATAAACACAAAATATTGTGCTGAAAATTAAGTACTTACTGAGCTTGCTAATCTACAAGTTGAATCATCGTTATCCTGAGGTCAATCGGCTTACTTAGCTAAACAGCGACTAGAATGTGGAGTCTGAATCGACTTCAGGAAATTTACTGCTAGCTGATTTTCTAAGTCTAAATCATTCAGTTGCTGCTGTATTTAGGTTCAGTGAACTTAAAAGACATTGGTCTCTTTGCACAGCATGTTCAAATGCCCTTCTTCCATATAAAGTAGCTCACTTTGTTTGGCTTGTAACTAAGGAGGCATGTTTGACTCAAGAAAATTTGGGAAAAGGGGGATCCAACAGTGCTCAAAGATGTTATTTGTCCACCTCGTCTAATTGAAAGTTAGGTATTCAATGTCAAACGAAATATACCACAGATATGAGAAAGAAACTAGTAGAAAAAAATATTTGAAAGGGCCAGAAATGCACTTTAAGGTTCCTCATAATCAACCAAGGTTTCGTCAATTAGTAAATATTATGGGAATCCTTTAACAAACACGAAAATAAACAATTATGACTATGAGAATGTTCGATATGACAGATTTGGTCATAAGAAGAAAAACGTTTTCCGCGGTGGAAAATGAATGCCCTCTCATTTTCCTTTCGACTATCTTATCATTCAACCTCATATTACTTGGTCCAACTAACACTACAATGTCACTTTGCTCCTGAAAACTTAAGGCAACTAATGAAAGAAACCAACTTAGTTAATGAACTTACGACCAGGGTGACAACAGATCCCAGTCCTATCATCTGGAACCGACCCACAAAAGAATCCGCCATAAACGCCCCAATAACTGGAGCGATGTTAGTAACTGCTGACCACATGTAGATAATATTGGACCCAGTAGTCATATCCATGTGATATTCATTCATCA